CCCCAAAACCCCAAAACCCCAAAACCCCAAAACCCCAAAAATAATATTTAAAGTAGAAATGATATTAAAATTATTTATGTGCGATGGTAAAACTTTCTTCTCATCTCAATTATGTTAGATTGCATTCTTTCATGAGGACGGTTTTGAGTAGTCAGATCATTCATTATAGGAGCATTACTCCTGCAGATGATGGAAGGAGAATGGCTTATGGATGGAGAGGGCCCATCATAAAGCTCTCTCTGATTCTGAGGAGGTCTTTTACTCGCTGTAGGCTCTTTTGGAGCAATATTTCGTTCCTTCTTGTTTCCTTTCTTTTTACAGAAATATGTAATTAATGAAAATATCAAGAAAATAAATGCTATTAAGCATTCTAATGCAGAAGATGAAATGAAAATAGATATGTATAGAGTTTCATAGAATTGAGTCCATTCTTCTTTTGTGTCAATCCAAGATAATGGTATAGCCAAACAGCAGATTACAGTCTGATTAATGACCTCAACAATGTTGTCTTGAGTATTTTCTAGAGGTCTTACAATTATCAGGTATAGTCCATATCAGATATTTATAAGATAGAAATAAGTAGCCTTTACAGGAGAAGATATAGTCCTTCCTAATATCAGGACTGCTCAAAGTGCCAACCTTAGAAGCATAAATAAGGTTGAATATAGTTTGGAGAATTTCGTTAGTTTAACCCCATTGAAATATTCTAATAATGACCAATAGTTTTCTTTATCTATGCGAGGAAAAGACTTGAAATACATAACAAATGAAAGAACAAACAGAACGCTTGTACAAATCCCAAACATTGCTCATAATCCAAAGGATATTTTTGTGACAGTTGTGCTGAGATTCAGACCGTAAAGCTCAGATAGAATTGATAAAGTAGTAAATAACAGTGCTTGCATTGATATCCGAATATAAATGCTGAAGGTAAAATATTTGTAGGCTTTGTTTCAAATCATCTTACATTTTCTACTTTGTGAATTCTTTGTTCAAAGATAACATAGATAAATTCCTAAATGAATTATTCCAAGGAGTATAAAAATAGCCATTAATGATAAATAGTTCACTACGGAACTGCCTGATCTCATCCCAATACTGTTCAAATACTCATCAGATTGAGGATATGATACCCATTTCGAAATGGTTTCTACGAATGGAATATCTTTAAATTTTATGAAATCAAAGGATAACATTGTGAAGTCTGTTCCGCTCAGGAAATCTCTCACTTTTGGAGAAAAGTAGTCGGGCACCAAAGGTAACAATATAGCAAGTTGCAAGCTGTTTATCGTACAAAATATAGAATTGATAGAGGATAATGATAGAATTGATGAAACAGTAGAAAATACTATACTTAAAGCTACCAAAGCTACAATAGCTTCAGATGCTTCAATATCTGGGGCTTTATGCTCCGTTTCCTCTTTCAAGTCAGGAATTTTAGTTCAAGCAGTTTTATTATTAGAACTTTGATGTCCTTCTTCTCAATTTTCTCAATAGCTAGGACTATTCAGGACTCAAAGATGACAATTAGCAATCTTTCATTGCTCAACAGTAATCTCAAATATCTTCTCATGAATTTCGCTGAGAAATGAAATCTGAAGAGAAAAATAGAAAGTCTTTGTTTCAGCCAATTTTGGAGTTTTATTGAGATGCAACTCAAGATTGTTGCTGTCTAATTCTACCCACTCAGGAAGTGCATTACCTCCAGTTTGAGACAAACTGAATGCAATATTTGTGTAATTTACAGCAGGAGATCAAGCCCATGTAAAGTTTAGAGGTACTAAGGCATTACTCTGGACTGATTGAGCATGATCTGTATTCCATAAAGCAACATAAGTCTTGAAAGAAGGATTAACTGTTGAAGTCCTGTCAGTTATAGTAACAGTGGTAGAAGTTGAAATACCTAATGTTTTTGTGCTCGTACTGATGCTTGGATTGGATAATGTCTCAGAAACTTGGTAGCTTGTAGTAATTGCACTAAAAAGAGGAGTATCTTGAGCGAATTCTGGGAGTTGGTCGATATTGGCAACAGGGGATCTTTCTAATAAAAACCTTGTTGCGATTAAATAAACTCCAGCATGGTATATCAACTCTTGTCCTTTATATACTAATCTTCCAGCTGCATGAGGTATGGAATTAAGAACTTTGTACTCTTTATAAATTTTCGTATTATCCTTGTCAATCAAGATTAGTCTAGCACTGTTTGGAAGCGACCAACTATAAATCTGAATGGCAATGAAATCATAAAATTCATTTATCGAATACGCCATTCTGAATCCACTATCGTTCCAGATGAACCCTGCATTATCAGGCGCCCCATCAGTTATGTTTAGTTTATGGAAAATATAATTGGAATTGTACAAAATCATTGTAAAAATCCAGTCTTCATCTTGGCTGATAATAGAAGAACTAATCTTGCTAACACAGCCAATGCCTAGACACTCAATACTTTTCTTCCAGATAAAATTTGAGGGATCAGAGAAGTTATAATTTACCAAGTAGTACTTATCAGCTGAGACCTCCGATGATCCAAAGAACAAGAGATCATTGCTTATCGGAGCGAAGTTGGTATAACTATCAGCTCCAAAACTTAGTCAGTCCAGATTAGTAGTGGACCTATCCCATCTGCATGTTTGCATAACTGAGCTTATCTTCATGCTAAAGTAGAGATGCTCTTTGATTTGCATCTCTGAATTGTCAGTAACTAATGATGAGCTCAGAGTTAGCTCTCTGGTAATCTGAAGATTATTAATAGTGCTGATTTCAAAAATTTTATGACTAGACTTATCTTGAACATAGATGAAATCTCCATTAGGATCAATGACATATGAAATATATGAACCATGCAAATTATAGGATACCACTTTAAGCTTTTGTAAATTATGATCTCATTTATAAATAATCGTATAGGGTGAGGGTCCGATATGGAAATTTCCAATAAAATACAGTAAACCTCCATCTTGATCTACCAAAATATCTAGAAGGTATGAGGCAGTCGTCCCTGGAATTTCGAAGTAGCCTGAAATAGATGAGCCTGCCTCTTGTTCATCATCCTTGCACTGGTTAGGCATAACAAAGCTGATTAACAAGAGGAAGATAATTATTCTCTTCATTTTCGTATTATTAATTATATATTTCCTTAGGTTTAGCCTATTAGGGGTTTTGGGGTTTTGGGGTTTTGGGG